GACTGAAGCTCAGATGAAGGGCACCAAGTGTAAGGTGGTGTCATACAAATTAGATGGGAAAGCTGCTGAACATTTTGTAGGGAGAATGGCACTTGCAAATGAAGAAGACATTCATACAAAAGCTATTTCTAAGAGCTCTCAAGCGGCTGTTCCTTGCCAGGCACATGAAAAAGGAGAGGCATTCTTGTGGTAAGACTGAGGTCCCGTTACAATGCTTGAAAGTAATACACTGGGCTCTACCATGAGTTCTGCATACACTAGGCATGCTGGCACATGTCTGTAATCCAACACTCTGGAAGCAGAGGAATGAGGACAACAAGTTCAAGGTCAACCTTAACTTCATAACAAGTTCAAGGTCAGCCAGGATACTCAAGACCCTAAAACAATCAGAACCACAGCAAATAGCCTAAACATCCCTTTTGGCACATGGCAGAAGGCAGAAGCTGCCAAGGGGTTACCTTTTCCCTCAACATACAGGAACAACCATGGGCAGGTAACATTCCTGGATTCCCAGCACTGCTTCTGTGGTCCACCAGCTCTGCAGACTTGAATAGAAACATTGTTTCCCTGAAGCCTATGTCGTCCTCAGATGCAAGAGCTCGGCTACCATGTTATAGCAACTGACCTCTGTGGGCTATCAGGAGAGCAAGCACCCAAGGAGTCAAAGTGCACTGGAACCCCTGCAAAACTCCAAAGAACTAATGTCTTGCTGACAGTTGAATACTCAGTACAATGAGAACTAAGTAAAATGACAGGAAAAGCACTCCCTGGGCCTGGAGCACTCCCTGTGACTGGAGCACTCCCAGTGACTGGAGCACTCCCTGGGCCTGAAGCACCCCCAGTGACTGGAGCACTCCCTGGGCCTAGAGCACAACCTGTGACTGGAGCACTCCTAGTGAATGGAGCACTCCCTGTGAGTGGAATAATCCCAGTGACTGGAACACTCCCTGGGCCTGGAGCACTCCCTGTGAGTGGAGGTGGGAACTTCATGTTTATACTTTGCTTTTACTCAGGCATATCTGGGTTGGTCTGCTGGAAGTCTCTTGATCACTGTCACTGGACTCAGAACACACACAAGGTTTTCCATGGCACTCTTATACTGTTTTTTGTTTGTTTGTTTGTTTTTGTTTTTTGGGGGGTTTTTTTGAATTGCAAATAAGTAGTCTTTCTGAGACTCTACACAGCAGGTACTAACAATGCCTCTGCCTCTGATTTTCGTTCAGAGGCAGTGAAACAGTCCATGGAGGTTTGAATGGCTCTAATGGCAACAAGCCAAGAACTCCTTCTATTTGATATGTTGTTGCTTTATCGAGAACACAGAATCGGCTACAAATGTAGATAGCCAACTCAGCCCTACCATGCTCTGCCAAAAAAAAATAGAACCAGCTTCCCTTCAAAACAAACAAACAAACAAAAAAACTTAGTGGTCCATCTGCCCAGAACCCTCATTTCACAGCCACTAGACCAAAGTCCTGAGTAAATGGCTGTCAATCCCACAGTTGTCTTTCTCTTCACTTGAAGATATCACAACTTCCAGATGCAAATCTGGACTGAAGAGACAGCTCAGTGGGTAAAGCACTAATGTGCTCACCACACACATGAAGAGCTGAGTGTATATTCCCAGAACCCATGTAAAGCCAGACATAGTAGCATTCGTCAGTAATCCCAAAGCCCTTATGAGATAGGAGGCAGAGCTGTGGATGGGTCAGCCTTAGATGTGACAGGTCAACCTCAAAACTCACAACTAGGCTGGCTTACACAGAACCAACAGGAGCCTCTGTCTCCAACACAGGGAAGAAGGCTGACACCAAGGCTGTGCTCTGACCTCCACACCACATGCATGCTGCAGCCCATGGACTCCTGCATCATACATATTAACACGCATGTACACAAACACTTTTGGGGAAAGGGAATTTCAAATCTGAGTGGCACCTTTTGAACAATGAGCACATGTCCTCCCAGAAGCCAGCTCTGATAGGAAACCAAGAACTACTTCTCACCTGCAAATTTGCACAAGGCGGTAAAACATGTGTGGGGATCTCATTCTCAGACCCCGGCGGCCCTAGAGGCTTGTTCTTGACCCGGAAGGCAGTGGTAGTGGTGGCAGTGGTGGTCTGGACTGGGGGGGCTGGCTGCCACATGGTCACATCTGAGCCATTGCCAAAGGCTTGAATTGCATTTTCTGTGGTGGAACAAAAGGAAATCCCATTTCAGAGGCAAACAGAGCGTAACAGGCAGGGTGCATACAGCCAAAGACGCACAGGAGGAGTAGTTCTGGTTGTAACACTGGATGTGTCAGAACAACCCCAATCACCAGTTCCTCAGTGGCCCATTCGCCCCCATCCCACTCATTCCCCACCCCCATCTCACCTTCCTTCCCCCATCCCCCACCCCCATCCCACTTGTCCTCCATCCCACCCATCCCATCCCCCTTCCCCTATGCCCCACCCCCATCTCACTCACCCAATTTTACCTATCCTCCCATCTCTGATCCCACCCATCCACTCACTCACCTCCCATCCCACCCCCTACCCTACCCATCCACCCACCCACCCAGACACCTGTCCATACATCTACCTAACTACCTAACTGGTGCTGAGAACCAATCTCTTGGATTGGGTGCTCAGAAATCAATCCACTCCTCCTTAAACACTGAGCGAGAGACACTTCCTCTACCACGAGCACAGTGAGAACTTATTGTCAGGCCCTCTGAAAGTCATCCTCAGACTCAGAAGCAGCATTAGAGTGACATCATTTTCCAAGAAAACGAAAATCCTTACACTCTTACATTGTGTCAGAACGCTGTACCACGTGGAAATTAACCAGTGGGGTTTTCCTTATCCTGAAGCAGGGCGAAGACAATGCTCACCCTCACCTGGCAGGAGAACGCAGCCACTCTCTATAGGAGAAAAATCTACCCCAAACCTCACCAATATCTGTGAAAATTTAAGTATGATTATTTTTCTCCTTTCTGCTTCCAGTCTTCCAAACAAAATCTGCATAATTAGATAGGCACAGCCCTGTCTAAATGAAAAGTTTGAAATGTAAAACTTTCAAAGCTTATTATAATTTCATGGGATTAGATTGTTTTTATGGCAAGAGTAAATTGGTTGTGTGTTGTTCCCTTCCCAAAATGAATAAAAAACAGTTTTTAATCAGGTCTTCGGGGATTTGCCCTGGATTTAGGAATTTTTTTTTTATTTCACATTCATTGTATAAGAAATCAGACTCCTTCATTTGGGACCCGAAAGTGCAAATTGCTAATACATGACGCTTACTTGGCACTTTCGATATGTAAGACAGAGTAACTGAGCCCTAATCTTCCTCTCAGAAGTGACACTTTGTTTCAAAATTGTCATCCTTCGCATTTAGCAAAACTGGAAGCTTGTTTTCCATGACTGTACACTGGGAGGGGTGGGGGCTCTGTAAGAGACTGCTTCCAAATATGACAAATGCAGCTTCGTGCTTCTTGCTAGGCTCTGTGGCTTAAGTGCTTTACTGATCCTTGAGAAAGGCAAACCTGTAGACCAAGTTCCCTAAGTGATCTCAGGACAAGAACTCGGGGCTCTGCTTTTTCTTGTTAGATGCAGAGACTCAAGAGAGAGCTACCATTAATGAAGACTACCCTTGCTTGCTTGCCCAGGGGTGTTGATGTGAAGCTACCCTTGCTTGCCCCGGGGTGTTGACATAGTCCCTCTGAGTTCAGTTGTTCTCTTGCTAATCTACTAAGTCCCAGGTATTCCATGTACAAAGCATAAGGTCTTGAACAGCAGTGATAGCTACATAAGACCAAAGCCACATCCCCAAGTAGAACTCTGACCAGAAAGGCCAAAAGGCAAAACCTACCATACATGGGTAGTGGTAAATGCCAGGAGAAAGGCTGGGGTTGAGAAAAAGTGGTCCAGGCATGCCCCAGGGAGGATACAAGTCTGCCTCTCCTCTCCATTCCCCTTAAGTCTTCTCACTTTCCTACACTTCTGCCATGTGCTTGGCTTTAAAACGACCATTTCCCATTCCCAGACTATAACCAAACAACCAACTGTAGCTGTGCTCGCGGTAGGAGAATCTGAGAGAAGCCTGGTCTGACTGGAAGAAAGTGGACTGAAGTTTCCATGCACAAGTCACGTTCCAGGAACTGTAGCAGCTTCTGCTCCAGGCCCCTTTGTAAGACACGGCATTTGCAGCCTTGTGCCCCATCCAAACTAGGATAAATGGAATGACTATGAAAACTTTGGGCTGGCTTTGGCATTTGTTTTTATTTAAAGGTCATTAGTAAGACCATTCTCCCCTTTAACAAAATACTGCCAAAGAGGGACAACTTTAATGTCTCTCTGAGGGACAAAGTTTTCATTGCTTTATTTTTGCTAAAACTTGTATTCAACCAGAAGAATTACAGATGTGAAGGGGAAGAAAAAATGCATAAAACAGAGCACAAAAAAAAGGTCCAAGGGCAACACGCTGGTACACCCAAGGTTTCCACAAATGCCTCCATATTTATGGCTCATTATGCAGGTTCAATGTTACCCAAGAACTCAAAAGTCCATTTGATTTTTTAGGAAAACCAAGGTGACGCTTTGGAGCTGAACGGTTTGGAACACAGATCAAGCAAGTTGAGTTTTTTTTTTCCATGGAGGACATGATGGGGAAATTTTAGTGGCATGCTCATGAGGATGTTTCCCATATAGTCAGTAAATCACTAGCTAATTCTTCAAAAAAAAAAAAAACAGTCAGCATATATCATCCTGCAGAATTAATCACTGGAAAACAAAGTTCTTCAAGGGCATGGCTGAACCTCGACACTTGTCACTAAGAAGTCAGATCTGGCCCCTGATGTCTAGGATTACACACCTGACAACCGAAAAGGTCTTTGGGAGTTAGGATGCTGCAAAGGATCCGAGGTTTGGCTCATGACTCTACCACTCAGGGTCTGTGAGAATGCTAGTCTTGTACTCACTATCCTTGTGCATATGACACTTGCATCCCCCTAGGGTTCTTGTGTAGAGTACAGAAAATGAAAATTCATGAACTCCGTACCCCTTTCAACATGAGTTGTGTCTCAGCTGGAGAGTCATCTAAACAAATATGGCTGACTGGCATGGAGCCATGTGGGAGGGAGACCTGGTGTCCGGCTTTTTAAATTTTTCTGACAGATACCCAGGGTTCATATCTGTATGCCCCTTTCCTTTGTCAAGCATGATTCCAAATTACCTAAAAAGTACCACAGCAATAGCTAACCCTGTTCCCAAGAGCAGTACCCTGCTCACAAAGGCTCATCTTTCAACTCCAAGATAACCCATCCCAAGTGTCCCTGATGGATGGCCAGATTCCTCAATCAGGATAGATCCATTGCTTCTATCCGAGCTAGCCCTGACTATGTAAGGAGGTGTTGACTTTAACATTCTGATTTCTCTGCAGAGTCCTCGGAGGCCTGTCCTGTGCACTGTGTTGAGCTTTTCACATTGTAATTTCCTACTCGGTTTTCAGAACCTGGGAAAGGACTCTCCACTGGTTGCCAAGATCAGAATTTGATCTGTGGGTAGAGGCATTCTTCCCCACATGATACACCCTCCATTATTTGACTCTCCTGTCCTCATAGGCCTTTGGGATCATAGTCTTGGCAGTGCCCAATTCATCACTTGTGTGGCTCCCTGCTGTGTCACTGAGTTTGCCAAGAGAAGCAAGCATCTACCAGCCAGCCAGCAGGAAAGGGAGGGAGAGAGGGAAGGAAAGGGAGAACACAGCAGACAGACAGAGCTTTCGCTCAAAGAGGAAAACATTAATGAATTGACATTCATCTTATTTTTTAAAAAAACTCACTGAGACACGTATTGTCCTTAAAAAAATTCAGAAATTTCAAGCAGTCTTCCAGGTCATTGCCACTGTTGTTGCAATCGCACCAAGGGGCCACGCTGAGGCTGCTGGAGTCTATGTAGTTGGGAGTCATGACTGTGCCTGAAAGAGAAAAAGACAAGGCATGTTGCACTCCGTGTTGACATGGGACATTTCTGTGGCCTAAAACAGAAACAAATGTTGCTCTGACAGTAGAAATGTCACAGCTAATCACAAACACCCTGGTTTCTGGGCGGGGAATTACGTTAAGTGGTGCATTTTCTTGACAATTTATCTTGAGCACATAAAATAATTTATACATTTACTTAAAAAATTATAAGCAAACTCCTTGGGCTGTATTTAGTGGTATTTTCTTCCTGCACAAACGGTATGTATGTCGTGGAGAAGGCGAGAATTAACTTAGAATCTACGAGATGCCAAATCTCTTGCGTTTTCTTGAAAATGTCATTAATCTTCATAAATAGAGAGTACTGGGTGCACATATCTTTAAGAATTCTTTTATGCGTTTAATGCAGTTTCCTTGGAGGGAAATGGCTTCTTTAGAGTAACGCAGGGGACTGTAGATGCCCCCAATAAGGTCACCACATCCTGGATGTCTACAAATGTGCATTAAGAGGCTGTCATTCCCCTGATTCTCAACTGATTAAAATAAAGTTGTCCATAGTAGAAAAAGATGGGGACAAAGCTGTGGTGTAGCTCCGGTGTAGGTACTTGTCCCATCCACAGCACCACAGAAGCCAGGTGTGGTGGTATGCATCTGCAATTCCCGTACTTGGTGTGTGGAGGCAGCTGAGTTCAAGGTCATTCTTAGATGTGTTCAAGGTTATCCTTAGCTACAAAGAGAATCTGAGGCCAGTGGGCTCCGTGAGACCTTATCAAAAGAAGAAGAAAGAATACAGGAAAGGAAGGAAAGAAGGAAAAAATCCCCTCCCAAAAAAACCAGACGAACACAGTGGAACTCCCTCATCAAGTACTGTCTATGGATCCACAGCAGTTCCCACAGATATTGTGTGGGCCTTGCTGCTTATAACTTGTGGTTTTTTCTTTTGAGTTCTCCACTGGGAGAAACAGACAATGCATTTATATTTAATACAATCCAAATGTCTTCTCCTGGGTGGCTCATAGGAGGCAATGCCCACAGATGCCAAGAACTTTCTGTTTCTAGTTGCTTTTGTGGAAGGAAGAAGTAGGTGGCCAGAAATCCAGAGGATGAGTTTAGCTGCAAATAAAGCAGTAGTTTTTAGAAACTCTTGTGGGGTCAAGGGCATGACTCTACTGGTCTATCTACTACTATTTAAAAAAAAAAACTCAAATCTCACTATTAGCATGAGAATTTTCATCTGCACCTTACAGGGAGGTCTAATTCACCAGACACTGGGGAAAGAGTGGAGAGGTCAAAGCTATTGCACGTCAGATGCCTCTGTGGATTCCTGGCATGTGGAGAGACAGGAGCAAGCTTTGTGCAGAAGTTAGGAGCCACTGACTCAGAAAGCCATGTAGAAGAAGAGATACAGACCCAGGATAGAAATACTCTTTGGCCAGCACAACACACTCCATCTACCATCGGTTCCCTCCACTTCATCTTCCTCAGGCATATAAAGTTTGCCAAGCCTAGGAATGAGCTCACAGAGATGCTGGCAGTGCCTTGCCTTGGCGGCTCACAGGGGAGTTAATGAGCATGAACTCCTGGAAGGACTCAGACTTGAAGTAGTAACAATGTCTCCATCTGCAGAGACTTAACACTGTCTCCTGGGAGCAGCCCTGGTTTTACTTTTCCTATTTTTTTAAATGTTTTATTCTTTTTAAACAGTGCTTATGCCTTAATTGCTTTTGTTATTTCTGCAACTCCATAATTTCATCCATCATCTTAGGTAGAAACTAAAACCTTCTTTAGGGAGACCATGACTACATTTTTGCTGTTCTAACTTATGGAGGGCGTACACTTGTTGGCTAGAACCACAGATATGGTGCACACCTGGAGGAACTGGAGCAGGATTTTTAAAGGTATTACAAATGGAAACATAGGTATCCTTTTAAAAAGCTGAGAGTGACTGGGACCTTTTGCATTACACACTCGCTTACTGGAACCAAAGACTCTCACTGGAGACATTCTGGTGATGAGGTTGTTAGCTTGTGTTGTCATTCTAGGTGGGAGGGTCTTTCTGTTGGTGATATGTATGACCCTGTCACAGACACTTGGATGGAGATGCCACTGAGCCAGGGCTGTGTGACAGCTGTGATTTCTCTCACCTTCCACAGCTGTCACTGTATATTCCTTCTCAAATGCCAACTATGATGGAGCTCTGATAGAGAAGATTTAGCTGTCCCTAGTACACAAGGACTTTCTTTCTTCCTGCCAAGTGAGGCAACCATCTTTCTCTCTGCTAGCCCTGTTTACCCCAGATCTAAGTCTGCCTCTTTCTGGATGTTTCCCCAAGGAGTGTTATTTAATTTCACTATTCTCCTGAACGCTGAGCATATGGCTAGCCTAGTGCCACAAGCCTCTCAAGCTAGAAAACACAGTTTCTGCTTTCAGTTATTTACAAGGAAAATAATTCTAAACAATCCCACGCACGTCAGGAGTCAAACGGCCAAGAATAACATTGGCAAGGCACTCCTTGGTATTGGAGGGTTCATTTCCAGGGGGCCATTTCTTGGAGACAGTTTCTTGGATTTCCGAGTTCCTTCTTCCCAAATGCAACGAGCTTTGTTTGACTTGCTCTCTTCTTCTAATACATATGCAACCCCTGCTCAGGTTGTGTGTGGCCAGTTCCCCAAGGGAGATGCTTAACTTTCTTTAAAATCTGTAGCCTTCCTGCTCCATAATTATCCCAGTTTCTCCCTTCTCTGGCATGTCTCCTTCTCTCCCTTCCCTTCCCTTCCCTTCCCTTCCCTTCCCTTCCCTTCCCTTCCTTTTTTCCTTCCTTCCTTCTTTCTCTCCTTCCCTCCCTTCCTTCCTTCCTTCCCTCCTTCCCTCCCTTCCTTCCTTCCTTCCCTCCTTCCTTCCTTCCTTCCTTCCTTCCTTCCTTCCTTCCTTCCGGCTATCTTCAAACCTCCAGAACTAAGTCTACTGGGAAATTTTCTCTTATGCAGACATCGCATGCTGCCTTTGTAATTGGAATTTCTCTGCCACTCCTTCCCTTCCTCCCTCCCCTGGTCTTACCAATCAGTCCCGAGTAGGCCAGGAGGCAATCTGCGTAGTTCTCCTTAAGACAGTTGCTGACAGACCTTGACTCTGGTTGGCAGTTGGTAAAAAAATCTGCAAGGCGAGATCTGAAACAGAAAAGAGGTGTGGTGTGTGGAGGGAGGGGGTTGGGGGAGACACTGAAAACATCCCAGGCCTTTGAACTGAGAGGAGGGATGAGGGAAGAGGCTGGTAACAGCCATGGGGGTGTGGCTGGTCAGAGGAGCAACTCCCCATGGTTCACAGCACAGGAGGCAACCATGGTTCTGACACTTAGTTACGTACTTCAAAACAGTGAGTAGAGAGGATTTTGGATGTTCACAGTACAAAGACATGATACATTTCTGGGACAATGAACACATCAATTAGCCAAATCATTACACACTGCATGTGTACGCGTATTAAAACATCACCTCACAGTCCATAAATATGTATGATATATTATGTGCCTATGACAAATGGAAAGTATACCATGAAGAGAAAAAAATACTAAGTCTTTGGACAGACATAACAATAAGTCTTTTGGAAATATGCTTCTTTATGCCTGTTTTCTCTCCTCCTCACCACCTGCCTCACACACACACACACACACACACACACGCATGCACACATGTGCTCGTGTGCAAACACACATACACACAGATGCACACACAAACATTAAAATATGGGTGCATCTTGCTTTTATTCAACCCCCAACCTGCCCCTCTCACAGCCTTCATCTACCTGTGTGTGCCTGCTTGTTTGGACAGAAATCTTCAGGGTCTATAACTGGAGAAATCTAGAGGCTTTGAAGTTTCCATTCAATATTTATTTCTGACTAGACTTATTTGCATCTTTAGGAAATATGCTTCTCTACACTCTCACCGGAGATCCACACTGGGAAAATATTTACTTTATACAGAAACATGTTCCTGGCATCAGAATTGGATCCTACAGCCCATCTGCTCCCATAATTCCTAGAGCCTTGCAATATGCATGCGTCTGTCTCCCGAGTCTTTTCTCATCCCCTTGCCCCACGTACTAAAGAGCTGTTTTTTTTCTGGAACCAAAGGGAAATCCAAGAGGGGTGGGTGAGGCTCTCCGTGGGCAATGATGCCTGTGGCTCAATGCCTGGTCTTCAGGGCCCTTTGGCCCAGATGGGGCTATGAGACCTCAGCGAACTCTCCAGAGGTGAGTGGGATTCATCGGAAGCCCTGCGTGGTGAAGGAGAGAGACACAGAAGAAAATGAAGGGAAGCCATCGACTCACTGGTCTGAGGAGGGCGAGGGAAGCTGGTTTTGCCCATGGACTGTTTTAAGATCTTCAGGGGATATTGTTGGGGAAAATCCTGAATAAGAAGTAGCCTCTGGTGAGGTCATCTTGGCAGTCAGCAGCCATGTTTCTAACGGGAGAACATGGTGAACTTGGAGATGTAAGTTACCTAGCAACTCGGTAGACAATGGGCACCTGTCCCTGTTTACACGGCTCACTCTGGTTGGCTGCCGACATGCCCAGGGATCATTCAACCTCTTTCCATGAGAACAACTGTGATCTCTGATCATAGAGCTTGACCTATGATGTTGCAAGGCTACATTTGCTGTGCTAAGCTGGGCAGGGCTGTAGGGAGTTAAAGGTTTGTGAAGGTTCACTTTCTTCCGGGTTTTGAGGTTTGTGGGTGTTTGCTTTGTTTCTGAGATAAAGTCATGCTATTTAGTACAGGTTGTCCTCAGACTTGCAATCCTCCTGCCTCAGCCTCCCAAGTCTAGTACTGTAAGTGTGTGAGATACTCTGCCTAGAACCTTTCCTACCATTTTAACTAGAGAAGGCACTGGAAGGACTGGCCAGTGGTCAAAGCTCATAGTACACTGCAAGGGCTCTGTGTTCCGGGAGGCAGGCTCATCACAAGGGGTCTAGGCACAGGTGCTGGGGTCTGCTTCATTTTCTCTATACAGCACCAAAACCTTTTGGAAAGCCCCTTGGCCACTTCTGGACCAGGACCATGGGCTAAGCTAAGCGGCTCTGCAAACCACCCCTCCCCCAAACGATGAGACTGAACATGTATGAATACTGGGAACACAAACATAGCCAAGGCTTGGCTGCACCCTATACCTTCTATTAAACACACAGAACGGCACGAGACCTTGGCATTTCTACAGTCTGGCCAAAGAATTTCTTTTCTGTAGGAAATCCCTAAAGATACCTCAGGATTACTCAACTGGATCCAATGGCATTCAGCTTGAATGGAGTGTTAATTTTAGAAAAAAAAATTCTGGTCATGAAAGTTAATGATCTAATGGTTTCTAATTCTGCAAAGCCCACCTCCACCTCAGACAGCTCTACACAGACCCTGGCTAGGAGTAATGACAGGCTGACCAGTGCCCTGACCTGGTAGCCCCTCCTGCCCACCAGCTTGTGGATGTTTCTGGGTCTCTAGAGAATACTGTTAACTGGTGCCACTGTGGTGCAGATTACAGTCCGTCTGTCCAGGCAAATACCTCCAGACTCATTTTGCTTAATAACCCCAGAATTGACTCACAACTAGACCCTGGAATAAAAGGTTAATTGAGTCAGTGAGTTGCAGACAGTATACATCTGATTGGCAGAATCAAACTAAATATACATCAGGATCCCCATGGCTGCCTACTGAGAAGGGACCATGAATGAAGACTGCTCGGAGACCAGTAAGGCTGTGCAGTATAGCTTGGGAATGGAAGCAGAAGAAAGCAGGAAGATTAGCATAGAGGAAGCCAGAGTTCTGAGGAAGACAAGAAGTGCGCACACGTGTGTGCGTGCACACACACACACACACACACACACTTTACCCAGGATTATCCAACAAGCAGAGCATGTACCCAAAGAGCAGCTACGGAATATGGAGGTGGGGGCAATGAAAGGCCGCAATCAGTGCAGGGGAGGGTGGCTAGGGGATCTTTTCTCAGCTCATTTCCTCTTCCATTCTTGGGAGTCCTTTTAACTTGTCTAACTTATATTCCTTGTCTAACTTAAAGGATATGATTTTCCTCCACCTTTTCTCCAGGCAGCAGCGGGAATTTTCACCTAATTTGTGTTATATATTTCCTCTTAAACTCGAATAAAGTTGTCCTCAAGCTTCCTTCTGAATCTGCTTTTAAATTCTTCTGTAAATGAATGTACAAGTAAGTTGCTATATTACAGATGAAAAGCAGTATACAATGTAACAAAGAAACCTGCTGTAGAGACACACGAAAAGCAAAGCATTCATAGTTCCCGAGCTAAATGCAACCATTAGAAAGCTGAAAACACTGAACGGATGTTACATGTGATGTTTCTGTTAAGACATGTTGTTTGGATTTTCGCATAAACAATTGTACCACCTGGCCATGCATATTTCATTGTACTCTGTGTCCCTAGTAACAAGACCAATGCATTGTGGGCAAAGAGTTCCAGAATCCAGGCAAGTTCAAGGTCGCTGTCACAGCACCCACATCACTGGTTCTATCAGATCTGCTCCACACCTGTTCCTCACACTCATACGTGGAGACAGAGTGGTCATATGATGAGACCTTCCATTATACAGGATGGAAGGCTGAAGTAGGAGCTCCATACGTAGTGTGCTGGAGGCAGCTCATTATGGGTAGGTGGGCCATTCTGAGGAATTGTGGGAGCTGCTTGACATTAGAGTAGCAATTTGAAAATACCACAACGAGAGTATTTATCCTGTGCTAATCACCAAATGCTATAAAGCAGGTTGTTCTTGGATGATAAATGGACACCATGCTGAAGAAACATGATGATGTGGCTGGTCTTATGGATAAAGCCTGGGTTGTATCTTGGCTATCCAATCTCGGTACTCTGGGCCAGGCTTCTACTTGACAACTAAAGCATCATGGCACCAGCTATAGCCCAATCATCAGTCCAAAGAAAGAGGAATTATTCCTCTGTAGCATCTCTCCCCATCGCACAACTCTAAGACCTCAGGTGTTGAGTGCCAGTGGTCAGGTGCAATGTTGAAGATGTCAAACAGTTCCAGCTCAGAGGCTAATGCTGTGGTCTCGGTGCTTCTGATATAACAATGAGAAAGACCTTGTCTTTAGCTTAATCTGTCCAGAAGCCGTAAGAAAGAGGTAAAGGATTATGGAAATACCTTGGCTAGTTCTTGTTTGTTTTGATGATTTGAGACATGGTCTTATGTAGCTCAAGCTGGCCTCAACTGGATAGGTAGTTAAAAATGACCTTGAACTCTCGATCCCCCTGCCTCTACTTCATAATCGTTGGGAGAACAGCAAGTCCTTGAAAGCTGTTGAGAAAGGCTGCTAAGAAAAGTAAAACTGAAGACAAATGAGAATTTAATAAAAGCTTACAAATGACCTACTTTTTCCCTGACAACTCTAAGGAGGTAGATATTTTGTTGTTTTAAGTTTTGACTTTATTTATTTATTTTTAATGTTTTAATTAGCATGCCAAGTAACAGGTTTCCCTGTGGTATTTCATAACACTTGGTTTGGGCTCATTTCTCCTCACACACACTGCCTTTCTACCGTCTCCCTGCCCTGCCTCATTCCCTAATCCGAATTTTATACTTAAGAAAAATAAGTCTTTGTTCTAGAGCAAAACAGGGAGCAACGGAACCTGGATTTTAAAGCTACATACTAACACACGGCTGCAATGGCTTCAGAGAAGTCATGCTGTCAGGACTGAGACAGAAAGAGGGGCACGTTTGTCAGGGAAAAGCAAAGGAGGGTGTAGCAGGCAGAGGCCAGCACCATCTTATCATGTTTACTCTAATTCCGGGCTATCCGTTATGAAGGATTTGCATGTGCTGGGTGCCTGTTGATGTGTTCAATATGTAGTCATGTACTCAACTTACTAATTGGTAGCACGGACCCTACTATCCTGAAGAGGGTCCTGAGGCAGACAGGAAGTCAGTGCAGATCCTTCCAAGTTACAGAACTTCATGGCTGGGGTTGGGGGATGGCCACATTCCATCTAGCTCCAGCACCAGAGAGGACCCTCGACCATTACACTAAGCATGCACCTTGCCAGGAGTTCTGCTAAGCGTTTCAGCTAGGCTGGTGAGACTATGAAGGGAGCCTAGAAGGGAGATTAATCAAATGGAGAATAACCAACGGGA